AGTACAATATACATACAACACAACGAATAATGATCATACACGTTTAGTTGATGCCTATGTTTCTCTACTTAGTGTGGTGATGGTGACCATTATTAGTACACTTGTCATTTTTTTTCCTGTTCTTTAACTATCGCCACATCACTATTGTCTTGATTTAATGCGTACAAACGATCGTGCCTGGCACTGAACACTTGACTTTGTTCGGGAGTAGGCGTTTCGCATTTAGAAAAAAAAAGAGAATGAAATTGAGAACGATAAATGCATAAAGAAAAAGAAAAGAAGAAAGAAATTCGAATATTGAGACGTGGCAGTCAATAACAAAATATACTTCTTGTCGTCGTCACTACGATCACTAGATCATATACTAAATAAGAAAGTAATCAAATCTAGGTATTGGTCAAGTGCAACCATAAAATAAACAAAGACAAACATTCATGACTATCAGCAGAAAAAAAGATATTCAAGACTTGACCTTTTTAATAAAAAAAAAATAAAGAAAAAAACAAAGCCGCAAGGTTATTTCAACATATGAAACAAAAGACTAATCAATAAGATCAAGAATGTCTGAATTACTTTTTTTATTTGATCATTACTACAATATGAAGAGAATATGTATATTACCTACTTCAGAATAAATTTGATCTGTCGAATAAAAAAAGAAATTATTTTCTGCAAAAAAAAAAGAAATATCTCAATTCGATAGTTCAATTTTGAACAATGAATTAAAGACAATTATACATATATTCAAATTTAATAAAATGAATAGAGACAAAAAAGAACGAAAGATCGATAAAGGATTAGATATATGTATTGATTTGATATATAAATTATCGACAAGTTTAATAATACGTATGAAACCAATATTTTACTTAAAACTCTTATGAAAAAGATTATTCAATCATATAATTCATAGCGTAATAAATATTTCCTTTTGTATGACAACTCACCATTCACTATAATATGTTTATATATTGAAATAATAATTATAGATCTCACTTCCTTCTTTTGTTCTGTCCAATTAAATTGTTTCATACCTGTTCCAATTTATTGTTATTTATAGTTGATGATCAATCATTAATCTTCATTATTGGTTAAGGACCGTTTTTGTTCTCTCTTATAATACTAACGTAACATAGAATAGGTTGCATAAGTTGTAGAGAAAGAAAGTCGAAAGCGACCAAACATTTTTGTCTGTTTGTTCCACCTGCGCTTTACGTCTTTCTCTCTCTCTCTCTCTCTCTCTCATTTTATGTAATGGTTCTGAATATACATACATACATATATATTCAAGAGAGTCGATCACTCATCAACTCCATCATCTGATTTATTTTTACAGAAGAAGAGAAGGGAAAAGAAAAAAAGGGAGAACAGACTATTCGTGCGTAGTAACGGGCGCAATGTAGGCAAGTTCACTTGTTCACACACGTACACATATACATAGACATAAGAAGAAAAAAACGAGTGTGCTTTTGTAGTTCAAGGTGCGAATTAAAATATAGAAGATTAGACATAATTAACATAATTGGCACGATATTTCGTAGACAAAGATAGAATTTTGCATAAAGATCTATATAATAGAAATAAAACTTCACAAAAAAATTGAATAAAAAAATCAATTATTTAATCAAGAAATCATTAATGAATTATTAATAACATTTGATTTTGGTTTTATATAATTGACCTACATTATTTTATACATTTTCAAATAATATAATATTTTATCGAGACCATCCATAAAATGACACTTAAAGTCGAACGAACACCATATGTTCATTATGTAATATAATGTACAACTTTTCAAAGTTATGATCAAAAGACGATCTATTCAATTGAATCGATTAAAAACAACTGGTTGCTCTTTTTTATCAAAGACTTGACATTGTAATTATTGACTCACATATTTCATGATCTTTAAAGATGTTTAATGAATATATATATATATATTGTTTTATTTTACACACAGAATTATATCTGAGAAGACTTGACAAATTTTTATATATCTTGAAGGTAGAGATGAATAGATATAACTTTATATGAATACTTTATTCACATTCCTGTTGTATTATTTATTGATTTTTTGATAACGATATATGGTCGTATAGTAAAAAAATTGTCGGCTTTTCTTTTCTTTTTTGTGATCTCTCTCAATAATAGCCAATTCTTAACTGATTAACAAATATTCGAAGACAATGCTAACTTTCATGTACAACTATTTGTAAAAAAAACTTTCACAAAATTAAGTCTTTTTATTTTCTAGCATTTTTATATTGTATAAAACTATTATAAACTTTAGTTTTTTTTTGTGATAATTCTTCGATACTTGTACAAAGAAATGATCTGATAAAAATGCGATTGTCTTTAGTGTGAATGTGTAGAAAGTAAATATGTCCATCGTTTCTCTCTTGAAAAACTGATATATTTTCACATTACATTATTGAAACAACGATTACGATGCGGACTCTGTATTCATAATATCAACAAATTAAAACAAATAATTTAGTTTAGTGTATTGAAGTCGAAATGATCAACGTCAAGTCCTTACTATGAAAAAAAAAACGAAGAGTTATTTGTCAATATATTTATCAGCATAATGAAATAATATTTAAACAAATCAATGAAAATCTATGGAGAATATTTCGAAAAGATATAAAATTATTTAGTCATCTATTCATATTTTTTTCATGAATTTCACTAAAATCAAATAGTATTTGCAATATCAATGTTGTAAAAAATTGTACATTGTCTACAGAAATAATGTTTTTTGTTATTTATTCCAAAGATAAATGAATATAGTACGATGTAAGTAGTGTCCTTTGTGGCTTATGATTTGAAAGATGCAATAATTCAATCACACAAGCAAGATGTACAAGTTGGTTTCTTTTTTTACAAACATTGATAACTCTATAGGATCAGGTAATCTAATCTTTTCTATTGTGTCTATTGTTTCTTGTTATTGGTAAGAAAGACATTTTAATTATGGAAAAAGAAATCTATTTAATTATTGTTAATCATTATCATTTTAATTTTTTTATGAAAATAAACACACTTTCGTTACACAAGATTTTCATCAGAAAATGTTTGCTGTTATCTATTATAAAAAGAAAATGAAGACTTAAATCATTTACGCCATTAGAAAGAAAAATCATATAATAAAAGTCCATGTAAAAGTTAATAGAAATAATAATTATCCTTTCCATATCACTCATATTTGTAAAATATGTGTCTAAGATTGAAATTCGTTTGAGATATTGTAGTGAATTTAATAATATAGATGGTATTGTATGGAATTTGAAGATAATCCAAAATATTTGTATACAAATTTATTTCTCTATAGATATCCAAGATCTTTATTGTTATTAGATATGTGTCAGAATCAAGCGACATATGTTTATGACAATTCAATTAGGCATTAATGTGATTGCGGTACTCGATTAGCTTTCAAAAAAATGTGATAAATCATTATCGTGTAAGAAAATAATTTTCATTGATAGAATGTCATGATGTACATATGAAATGTCTAGCATAATTCTATCTTACGTGGTTATTATTAGTGTTATGAGAGTACACGATGAGATAGAGATCGAGTATTGATGATGATGAAGAAAATCATCAACAATCCATTGACACTAACTTGTTATTCATGCAATTGTGGTAATCATCTTAATACATTTATCAAATACAATGAAAGATTTAACCATATGTGAAGAGAAAGAGAGTAAAATAATCTTTTTTTGTTATGATAAATTTGTAAGTAAAGAGATCTATTAAACAAGTCGTTGTTATGCATCTAATCCTTATCAAAATGAAGGAATATATTTCGTAACTCATTTTTACCAGTGCCATATGTGAAAAAGCTTGTCAGTCAATAGAGAAAAAAAAGCAATATTTTCATTTTCTCTTATCAAGGTACTTATTATCATAATCGATATATAAATAATGGTGTTTGTGAAGTATTTAATAAGATTATTTATGAGTATAATTATTCGGTATATTTTACTGAGTAACAATGTGAAATTACTGTTCCTGATACTTTTTTGTAAATTGATCTAATGAAAAGTTTTTCTTTCATAACTCAAAATCCATACAAAAATAAAAATTGTGATCTTCAAAAATAAATGCCAATGTGTTAAAGTTGTAGGAGTATGTTTTTGTAACGGCGAATTTCATTTTGGTGAAATTCCATGTAAAAGTTAATGTTGAATTTGACTTTAAAATACATCATGTCTTTTAAATAGTTTATAAATCCATTCTTTAATAAGAGATACCGATCTGATGCTTGTAAACAAAAGTCGAATGCAACACTATCAAGTACTATATTCATGATCAGTAAATTATAAAGGTTTTTTCTAGCGAATTATCACCTGACAAATTAGAGCCGTTTTCAGGACAGAACAGAGCAGGTGGAAACAGTACCCTGTAGCGATATATGAGGCACATCGATGTGTGAATAGAATTGATACGACAGATGAGTTCCTGACATTTGAGCCTGACATAAGGAACAAATCAAGAAAATACAAGAAAATAGTTTTATTTGAATAAGTTCACATTCACATCAAATAATGAAAAACAATACTAACAACTATGTTTGACTTTTCATTTGATAACAAGAGTCTTATACTTTAAATAATCAAGAGCTCTGTTCCATTTTTAATGTGAATGTAGATTTATTCAAATGAAATTATATTTCTTTAATTTATTCCTTATGTTAGGTCTCAATTGTCAGTGTATCCTGATCACCTTTTCCAATATATATTAATCAAGAAGTTTATATTTTTATTTGAAAAAAAGAAAGAAAAATAACGACCATATATGAAAAATATACAGTCAAGTGTATCACAGATAAATCCATATGTTAAAGAAAACAATCTGTTTTGTTTCTTTTGTTGTTCTTATAGAAAAATATGAAAAATTGTGACATAAAAGAACAAGAAATATAATTGATCAAATCATTCATTTTTCTTTGTCTGTTAAATTTAAATTATTTGTTTATCAAGTTTAATTCAAGTGGTAGACCAACGTTTTCGAAACCATTTATCAAATCGATTGTTAAATACTTTCTCTTTAAGACCTTTGCCAAAATTACGAATACAAATAAAAGCAAAAATCATAGATAATATATGAGTAAGAATATTTGCCGCTATACACACATAAAGTGCTTTGGGTACAGATACAAGAACTCTAGGCATTGATGTTGAAATAGTAGTGATTGGTGTAGTTGTAATTTCTAGATCAATAGCTTTTGTTGTTGATATAGACGAAATAAATGTTGAAGTTGTGATGATTGTAGATGAAATGGTAGATATTGTTGTTGTGAATGTCGCTGTCGTTGACATAGATGTTGATGAAGTAACAATAGCCTGTTAGATTTGTTTTTTTATTTACATTGATGAAGATAAAAAACTTACGCTATGTAGAGAATAACCTAGAAATCCAGGTTGAAATAATGAAATAAAATAGAAAATACCAACTAATATTAAATTTTCAAGACGAATCTAGATATTAAAAAAAAAATCATAATTAAATTTTCTTTTTCTTTTTTTTTTTTTTGGTTTTTTATAATCAATGTAAAAATGAATATATATTTTACCATGCCAATACCAATACCTAACCATAATAATGCCAAAGGAATACCAATACCAAGTAAAAGTTTATCAGTTGTTTCCAAATCATTAAAATTGTATAAATTAAGAACGAATGTTGAAATCTCAAAATAAATAAATAGTTTCAAATATAATTTATCAAGGAAAAACTTACTGAAAGCATTGTATTAATACGTGCTAGACAATCGAATATATTATAGATTTTAAGTGGACGACGTGCTGTAGGAAAAGCACCGAAAAGTCTTGAAAAAGAAAAGATCAAAAATAATTATGATTAATAAATTTCGTTGTTTTCTATTTAATAATAAATATACCGTTTAGAAAATTCATCACGTCTATAATCTCTAATAACTAATATTGCCAATGGGATAAAACATATATTAAAAATAATCATAAGGATAAGTCGAATCTTTAAATATAAAACACAAAAAAGTAATAATAATAATAATAATAATAAATTTATAAAATATTTCAAATACTTACAAGACGAATTGTTGCAGCTTTACCATGATTATCAGGTTCTTTGCTTCGAGCAACATAATGTACAATCACATATATAGTAAGCATAACAGCACTAATAAAAAAAGCCACAATATGAGTAATACGTTGAAAGAGAATGCCAGTAATAAGAAATAATAAAAGAAATACTATTAACAAACAAAATTCACATTTATTTATTTTCTATGAACTTTTTTTCATTTAATTCATACGTGAATTAACTAGAATAAGTATAGCATAAGCAAAATCAGGATCTCTTGTATCATGAATATCAATAAGACGAACAATGCTTAAACTGTCTGTCGCTATTGCAGCTAATATACCAACAATCAGAAAAATAATTTCATATCGATTTATATTTGCCCAACCACGACGCTTAAATCATAAGATAATTAAAAATATATAATAAATAAAAACATAAATTGATTTTATTACTGTTCCAAAAAAGCCACTTTCATCAATAGCAGTTTCATCTGATGGTCGAAGACCACCAGGAAATCTTGGTATTTCTTCCTGCTAGAAAATATGAAAATAGAAAATTCGAATATTTTTATTTACTTGACTTACACTCATGTGTTTTTAGTTTTTGATAAAATTTTGTTTTATTTTTTCAAATAAAATAGCAACCGAACCTCTTATTTTATCTTTTGACTACGAGCACTATAAAGAATAACGAATCATGAGAATGGAGGACGAGCAAATAGAAGTATAGTATTTATCATGTTATCTTTTCGATGTCAAAAAAAAGAAAGAGTCAGATATGTGTTGTGATAGTTTAATAAAACGTGCGTAAAAAAATTACAAATGAAAATCAAAACAACGATTTCTTTTTTACCTTTCTATTCATTTAAAATACAATAATAAAAACTATTTATGAATCTATTAGTCTATAATACGGTTGGAAGAACTTATGAGTGAGATATTACATACAAGTGGCATTGTATCACGACAAATTTTACAGTCCTATATTCTATGGCATCATTTTTTCATGTAAAGTATATTTTAAATTGATACTGGCACAACTTACAAACAGATCTCAATATGTTGGCGTTAACTGAGATAGAAGACAATAGAACAATAAGATCAATTAATGTTTTCTATTATTTTGCTGGTAATTGATAAATATCATAAAGAATTTTCATTCCGTACAAATTGACAACTAAAATCTATGTTTTTTTCTAAAATTTTTTTGAAGATATATAGTATAAATAAAAAATATTTTGAACAACTCTATATATATAAGAAATAGCGTCGCTCTAAAAGAATGTCGAATTTATTACTCGCCAAATAATTTAAATATACCATTTTCCTCGAAAAATAGACGAGTGTTTAAACTTTTTTTTATAATTTTTATTCTTTATATCTTTAATGAATCTGTTCGATACAAATAATATTTGAAATGTTTGTACTTTTATCCCAGTATGAACAAATGCGCATTACAATTATGCATTTAATCTCTAGTATTATTAGCATCTATAATAGTTTTTCAAGGATTGAATTACATTCATGTAATGACTTAAATGTAGATAAGAGAAAAAAAAGAAAAGTAATTGATATTATTAATCACGTGTGAGATATTATATTTGTCTTCTAGTCTTTGTTTCTACTCTAAAGACTAAACATTTTTTTGACACGATCGATGATGTATTTCAATATAAATGTCAACATCGGTTCAAGTCTATTCTTGGATCTGTCAATGACATCGTCAAAATGATTGTATGACTATTAAATAATAATAGAATTTATAATAGATTTTTTTTTCTTTTTATTAATTCTTATTGACAAACATTACAACATATAATAAAATATAAGAATATATATATATATATATATATATATAATTTAAAGGTTTAAAATTATGATTCTTCATATGTTTGTTTTGCATTTAAATCGTATGTTTTTTGTACATTTGGTTGTATTAAATATTTCCACTATGTTGTTTTGTATTCTTAGAATAGCGTACACTGTACAATAATCGATTACGATGACTACGATGAATAAGTGAAAAAAATGCATAACGAAATCTATATCCACTTATACAATAAATAATAAAATTTGTACAAAAATTTAAATCTTTTAAAAATTCACAAAGTGAACGTATAATTAAATAAATTTCAAAAGATTTTTGTGTAAAACATAAATCAAATGGTAAACCCCATCTTGATATAACATTTACTATTGTAAATGGTAAAAAATAAATCATAAACATCAATGTTACCATTAATAACATAAGTATTAATTGATTTTCATTTGTTTCAGAATATCGTTGTCTATGATAAATATGATTTGTTAAATTTTGATGTCGTCGAAATGCAGCTCGTTTAATTGTATATAATGTTATACAATTACCAATAATAACAATTGATAATGGAATAAAACAAAGAGTAAATTCAGTTATTGTAGCATTTAATTGTCGATAGTTTTGCCAATTTGATATTGGATGACAACGTTTTTTTTGTTCTGGTGAAATATCAACTGATATAAATAAAACACGAGTAGAAAATATTAAACTCAACATGGCTACTAATATAATTAATACTTGAGCACAATATACTGAAACAAATTTTTTAATACGTAATGGAAATAAAACAACTAGTGTACGTTCGACTGTTATTAATACTATTGTCCAAACAGATAAGAGTGTACTAGCATCACTAAGAAATATTAAAACAGTACACATTGATGGCCAATAAAATACTTTTGATGTTTTATTTTCAAATGATATTAATTTCAGCACAAGAACAAGCGTATCTGATATAGCCATTGATTTAACATAAACAGCAAATGGTGAACGATTTAACAGCGAATTTGTCAGAACAACAAGTAAAATTAATGAATTTGTAACTAAAGCTAATATTGGTAATGCATGAATGGATATATAACTCAATGTTTGAGAAAAATGAAATGCTGTAGAAGAATTAAGTACTAAACTATTTGGTTCACACAGGAAACGATCCATCTATATAATGAAAATTAGAACTTATATGTACAAGAATTTTTCTATTTTTAATTTACTCCGTAAAGTCGTGTAGGTTTATTTGTTACGGAAAGCCAATTTTTGCTTTGCTATTATAAAAAAATAAAACAAAAGGTAAATGAAAAATGTTTAATTCATGTGAAATAATCAATCAAATGAATACAATAAGCAATCTGACTAATCATGTATAGCAATACTTATTGACTTTTGCCTTTATTAGAAAGATTGTTGATAAGTTTCACACAATTAATATACTGTCACAAAATTCTTGAATTTCTAATTATATATTATTTAAATAACATCTCGTCTTCGACAAAGATTTATTCCAACTAACATAAACAATAAGTAGATTAGATCTTATTAAATTAGACAAAGAAAATCTAAGATCTATCCGCTTTTTTCTTTCATTTTATTCTGCTTTCTATAAGCAATTTATTTGTTTGTTTATTTGACAAAAATATTCTTCGAAGATGAAACATCACATCAACAATAAATAATTGAAATTTCAATAAGTTTGTAAAATAATATTAATTATATTAAACTTATAATGATATCATAAAAAATTATTTATCATTAATGATTTTAAATAGATCTCGAAATTTTGAATCGTTTTCTTTTTCAAAAATTAGAAAATCTAAGGAATTAATCAATGAATTTTTTCTATTCCTTATTTTTACTTTGTATGCTTTTATTACAGGCACTTTTACAGAAATAAGATAAACAAATGTATGATTTCCATACGATTACAGTTAATATTTTAATTATACTTTCACTTTCGTGAAAAATATTAAGTATTCTCTTCATCATTAAGAAGTATAACATCATTTCTAGTCATGTATCAATAATATGCAAAACATGAAAGTAATAAAGAAACAAAAAATGCATGTTTAACTTTAAAAAAGCGAATTTTTATGTATTTTAAAATAGAAAATTTATTTTGTCTTTAATTACAAAAAAATATCATATCTAAGTACTAAGCATTATAGAACCATCTTTTTTTCCCTATCCAACAAATACATTAATTTGAGTTAGTATAATAAAATTGTTAATTTATCTTACTCTATTCATGCAATTTTTATTATAAATGAGGCAAACGGACATGCTGATGTTTCTATGAAAAGGAAACAAAAAACAATATATTTTTCTTCCTGAAGAGTCGAAGGGTCAAATTATTCTTTACTATTATACGATCAAAACAAATAATAACAACTCTATTTTAACTTTCGTTTGTTCTCACTTTTTTAAACATTCACTTGGTCCTTTGTTGTTCTATCATTTAACTTGTCTCATAAAGAAAAATCTTATTAGATAATAATATGATAAATTGCTGTTAAGAATTGAATCGTATTTTTATATTTCGTTTGCATGATATATTATAATTTTCTTTGTTTGATCTGTTGTGCTTTTTTTCTTAATTCATACCTGCAATGAAATTGAAGGTGTCATCATTGTTATAATGAAATTTTGATGAAGTATCTAAATTATAAAACTAGTAGAAAAATGTTATTATAGAACTTTTATTCTGAAAACTAACCATTGAAAAACAAAAAACTATTCTCGCGGAGTAAGAAAAATGACCTATTTTCTTCTTTTTGCCATTCTAGAAGTTTAACAGGTTGGAAGTTCTGCTATGACAAAAAAGAAGGAATTAGCGTCTCTACTCTATTTAGGTACTCTTAAGAAATTACGTGATTCGTTTTTAGACCTTATCGTCATAATAATCAAAACTCTACTATAAGTTTCAGACTATAGTGTCCCATCATAATATTATCGAGATTTCTTCTCTTGTTCTATGTGTCTACATGATTTTCCAACAGCTCTTTACGTTAAAATTTTAACAGGAAAAAAAACAGGAATAGAAGAGCTCAGACATCCTGTAGTGTCTGTCCAAGAGTTAATTTTATATTGATGTGATATTTAAGATAGTTGATTAACGATATATAAGACGGATAACGACATAAATAGAGAGAAAATGTCATATTATGGATATTTATATAGGAAAAGTCAACACAGTCCGTCCAATGAAAATTGATTGGTATCAATATTAATCGAGAAAGTTGTAATAAGAAACTGGATATTGTTTTATCAATACTATAGGGCAAGTCATTAAATAGCATTCTGATAAAAAACAGTGAAATGTCTCCGTTTCGGTTCGCTCGAATGGCCTGATGTTTTTCACTGATCGAAGCTTATTGAAAGTTTTTTTTAAATGAATAACGCAAACAAATACCACTGTCAGATTTATATATTTGGCCTCACTAAAGAAGTTTCACCTATTGTCAAGTAAGAAAATTACATACAAAGCATTTCATAGATTTATTTTCAGTTGTTATCTAAGAGAATAATAAGAAGAAATCAAAACGAACATTATTCATACACATAGAGCAAGCTTTTAGAATTACATAGTTAGTTTAATAATTAGTCAATGATTACAAAATTTTGAATTTTCAAACATGCAACACTGATTTTTGCAAGAAAGTTAGTGCCTAAATAGCTGCAATGGAGTATGAATTTCAACATTTGAAATTGACTACTAGTTTTGAAAACTTGCTTTATTTACAACAATTCAGTTCGTATTGATTTCTTTTTATTTATG